CAGTCACGGGAGTCGCCATGGGCGCCGCGGCCGCGCGACCACACGCCCAAACGAGCCGCCAGCAGAAGGCGACGGGTGCCGCCCCGCACGTTGCCGGCCGCGCCGCCCGCCCTCTCCCCTTCCTGCGCGCCCGCCCCCCTGCCACGTGCCTGGGCTTGTGAGCCCGGCACCGGAAGGAAGCCCGCCGATGGAAAACAGAAGGAACACACCGACAAATCCAAGGACAATCGAAAAGAAAAAAAAACTTCCCCGTGGGTCCGCTACGTCCTACCTCTCTTCCTTCCCCCCGCACCTCGTCTCTGTTCCCCGCGAGGTGCTCCACCTGCCCCCGGTCCCAGTTCCAATGAACTGCAGTTCCATATCCCCGCGGCGTGGCCGCGCCCTCTTCCCCTGCGCGGGGCCCCCCTCCATCGAGGCGCCCGCACACGGGAAAAAAACACAAAACACTCATGTGTCACAAACACAAAAGGAACGCGGTCCGTGGATCGTCACATCCGCTGTAAAAAAGCACACACACAAAACAAAACAAAACAAAACAAAACAAGGGTGTATCCCACGGCAGGCCGGGCCAGAGTCGTGCCATGGCCCGTTCACCGCCGGGGAGCCTCCATTACAGGAAAAGTTAACTGCTGTGCCTGGCCTTGCGCCGCGCCATCCACGCCCGCAGGCGGCGCGACAACTGAAAGGTGTTCTCGGCGGCCAGGAGCCAAAGCCACACGGTGCAGATCAGCAGCAGGATGAGCGGCCAGTACAGGTACGGCGTTGTGCTCACAAAGGCGCTTAGTTTGTTTCGGGCGGTTGGCGCAACGTTAGACTCAAGCTGCGCAAACCCGGCCACACACGCCACGAGTAGCACGTCAATCGCGCACCACGACGCCAGCAGCATCCACTGCGGGAACATGATCGTGTGCACAAGCGGGACGAGGCCAACGGTGAGGAAGCAGACAACGAAAAAGGACCAATTCAAGGTGGCAAGAGAAAACAAGGACAGACGCCTCACCTCTTCCTTGAAGATGGGTATCACCCAATGGATCTTGTACCCGATGCTGGGAAGTATCCACGCAGGGAGGACACACGCGGCGACAAAGATGCCGCTCGCCACCGCAGCCACCAGGCGTCTCCGCGTCCACGCATTGTGTTTGCATCCCTCGAGGCTGCAGACGCCACCTTCGTCGTGTGCGGGTTCGGCCTCATATGGGGCAGATTGTTCGAGCAGCTTGTCACACCGGTAGAGCGAGGTGCCGCGGCGCCAGAAGTGTGTGGCATAATTTCCCACAACGATGGAAATAAGCGTCGTTGAAACAAACACATAAAACCCGGAATGATACTTCACCTCAATCAAGCCATCAATTTGCAGCGTCATCGACAGGGCGATGAAGGAGTATACGTCAAGCAGCGCAAACTTCCCAAGGTAGTTGATGATGCGAAGAAGCAGCATTTCCGGCCTCTGGAGAATCAGCGTGCACACCACAGTGGCCACCAGCTTAAGGTAGGGGTACACTGCACTGAAGGTAAACATGAGCACGGCAAGGGCCCTCAGCCCCGCGTCATACGTCTTCCAAATGGTGTCGAGCAGTGCGAAGCTCATGTAATGCACTTCGCCTCCGGCCACGACGGAGACAATTGTGGTTAGGAGGCACCAGGTAAAGCCGATCGCTGTCAGAACCACCAGCAGCATCAGAAACAGATCCTCCAACAGTGCACGCTTCAGGGTGAGTGGAAGGCCATCGTCGGTTGTCACAGGCTCCCCGCGGCGGTGGCGCCAAACGCTCAAAACGGCAGTTCCCACGAGGAGGAGCACAGCCACAACCACCGCAACCGCCGCATACGGCATCGGCGGCAGCTGGTTGACGGCCTCTTCCGGCAACGTTGGGACGAGGAAGCGCGGACCGGTCGTGTTGTCGGACTGCAGATACTCATCCAGAGCCTTGGTAAGCAGCGAGGAAACAAATGGGCCCGCGATATTCGTGATAACCTTGTCCCACTCGCCAAGGTTCTCCGACCGAATATTTTGCAGCGCAATGCCCCCAGCACGTGGCACTGTGCAGTTTATTCCGTCCTCAGCGCACCGGAGGTCGTGAAACACAACCTCAAAGGACGCGTTGAAGGAGTGAGGGACGTCCAGCACCACCAAACCCTTCTTGAGCATCGGCAGCAGCTGCTTCAGGGAATCTGCGGCGCTCGCAAGCTCCATCACCCTGAGCGCAACATCCAACTTGCCCAAGATTCTTTCCAGCTCGGGGGAGAAACCCAGCCTGAGGTGGGGGCTGCCGGGGAACGCCATGTGCACGTGCAGCGTCGTCCCATCAAGCGAGGACACTGCGAACCTGACGCCAAAGAGAGGAGGGGCATTGCGGGCAATGCTTGCGAGCGCACGGAAAAGCTTCAGCCTTTCCAGTGGCGCGGCACCAGCAAGAAGGGTGGGGTGGGGTGCGGGAGGGTTCAGCGTGCGGTTCATTAGCTCCGATGCGACGTAGGAAGGAACTTTTTCGCAAATCATTTTAGAAGCCTGCGTGGCGACCGTGTCCTTGTATCCGCTCAGTACCCCGTCAAGCAGGAAGTTTGGCTCGCTAAGCTCCAGCTTCTCTAGCGTCACGCTGACGTCACACGGCCCCACGGCGACCTCGGTGCTGTAGCACGCCCCGTCCACGGACTTCTGGAGGGCCACGCGGCTGGGGGGCAGCAGCGCATCCGCCAGGATTGTGAAATTGCTGCCAAGCACCTCCGCGTTGACAGTGCAGTTTGCCGTGGAGGGGGTTGTCGTCTCCAGCAACCACAGCGAGGAGTTGAACGTGCCATTCACCCCGCCAATGTGCACCTCTGAGCACGACAGGTTGCTTACAACTGCCAAATCGAGATCCTGCGACAGCTCAGGGAAGCCCACCCCAGTGAAAGAGATGGAGCTCCACCAGAGCAGCAGCGAGAGGCATTGCGAAATCATCGCGGCAGCGCTGCGGGTGCGTCAGCGAATGTGTTCCCCCTTCGATGCAGTGCGTAGAGTGACTGGGGGGACGCCGCTGCGTAGAACGCGATGCAAACCTTCCTGGTTGGGCCTGTGGCTATCTTTCACCGTACAGAAGTAACACACACCACACGAGAGAGGAAGAGGGAGAGGGAGAGGGAGAGGTGCGCGCGCGTGCGTGGGGAGGAGGCCGCGTCCGCCTCCACCGGCACCTCGCCGCGGCCAGCAGAAAAAAGCGGCACTCCCGAGCGCCACAAGCGACGAATGCGGGCCAACAAAAGCGTGGCACTCCCCACCCCGCCAAAAAAAAAAAACAATCAAAATCAAACAAACCAGGCGGAGAACACGCCGCGCAGTCACGGGAGTCGCCATGGGCGCCGCGGCCGCGCGACCACACGCCCAAACGAGCCGCCAGCAGAAGGCGACGGGTGCCGCCCCGCACGTTGCCGGCCGCGCCGCCCGCCCTCTCCCCTTCCTGCGCGCCCGCCCCCCTGCCACGTGCCTGGGCTTGTGAGCCCGGCACCGGAAGGAAGCCCGCCGATGGAAAACAGAAGGAACACACCGACAAATCCAAGGACAATCGAAAAGAAAAAAAAAACTTCCCCGTGGGTCCGCTACGTCCTACCTCTCTTCCTTCCCCCCGCACCTCGTCTCTGTTCCCCGCGAGGTGCTCCACCTGCCCCCGGTCCCAGTTCCAATGAACTGCAGTTCCATATCCCCGCGGCGTGGCCGCGCCCTCTTCCCCTGCGCGGGGCCCCCTCCACTCGAGGCGCCCGCACACGGGAAAAAACACAAAACACTCATGTGTCACAAACACAAAAGGAACGACGGTCCGTGGATCGTCACATCCGCTGTAAAAAAGCACACACACAAAACAAAAC